AATCAACTCAGTATAACCTGTATCCTCCATATTCCCGGATGTGGAACAAATGTGCTTTAAAGAGCATCGATTCACCGAAAGTTCACCAGGAAAACAGGGCTTTGTCTACAAATGTTCTTCATACAGCAGAGCCACAGGATTCTGCCATTTGTGAGCTACAATGAAATGCAGGAGATCAACTGATTCAGGGGTTCTAATAAAAGTCTGGAAACCCCAAGAGATTTTGGAGGGCCCATGAAACCCTTGGATGACATGCAAATGTTCACATGTGCCTTTCCTAAGAAGAGGTTCCCAGACTCCAAAAGAGTTAAGTCTCACAGGATTCTAATATTCCCACCACTCCTATACTCGTCGGGAAACGGAGCACAGGAAAGAGTAAGTAGCTTGTTAGATTCGAATCCAAGTTAGAAATCTAAGGTCTTATTTTCTCAGCATTCCAAACGATTTCCCTAAATGGGAGAAGGCTGACCCACCTGCTACTGTCCTGTTGTCTGCTTTTTTAGAACACCTGTGTGCTGTACTTGCACAGCAGTGCCAGTGAGATGAGCAAGCGGCTGTTTAGTCTACACAGTGGTTTTTCACTAGACTTCCTTGGGATCTCAGGCTGAGAATACGGGCGGCACCTATTGCTTACTGCATCTGGAAAACTTCTAGAAGCAAGGTTGCGTGCAAATCCCGTCATCATCCGTGGAGTGTGCTTTGACTTCGAGTTTGTCACGGAGCAGAAAGGAACCCAGTTGAGCTTCTTCAAGAAGGCGACTATGGAGCTGAAGGCAGTTGGGTTCTGCATCCAAAACCCCGTTCACCCCCCGGCTCTGACCCCTAAGACCCCAACGACCCGATCAGGTCACCTCTTTAGGCTTCAGTTTCCACGTGCGTATAAGCGTGATGATGGCAGTACTTGTGAGGACGGTCCAAGGAGTGAGATAATTCACGACAATCACTCAGCATACGTCTAGCACGCAGACGTGCTCGGCAGCTACTAGCACAACTTCTTGTGAAGTCAAACCTTTAGCATCCTGAGATAAATATTTAGCTACAACTTGATAGGTAAAAAGCAGACTGGAGGTCAGAAGCCAACTGACTGAGAAAACAGAAAGGGCTCCCTCCTTGCATTTGATGTGTCAACCCCACGTAAGGGCTGCGTCTAGAATCTTCATACCATGCACCGGGTCACTGAGGAGCGACAGAGACTAGAAACCGTACTGCGTACATATATTTTAGGAAATGCTTCTTTTTGGATTTACCTTGAGGCTTATGTTAAAACTAGGTTAATTTTATATTTACATATTCGGAGCTGACAATAAATCTTTCAAGCCTCAGACCTCAGCCTGAAGCAAATTCAGTGAAAACAGCTTCTTCTCAAACAGATGAGCTGAATCCACAGCGAGCCAGCCTCAAATCACTGCATTCTTGGAGAGAACTATTTCACAAGAAACGTTGTTTCTCTGATCATAGGCAACACTTTGAAGACTTCAAACGTCAACAGAGATGGAGGGAAAAACATGTCCTTCTGAAATGCCAATTTTTCTGAAGTAACCCCCCCCCCCAAACCTTTAGTCACTTCAAATGGTTTCAAGACCATACTGGGTTATCTCCCACTGAAGAGACAGACATTGAGAAATGAGCAGAATAATATTTTCAGGATAAAAGTCTGCAATGAAATTCAAATGTCAGGGCAGTACAGAGACTTTCACTGTCACACGTATCAGTAGGGATGATTTCGTTGATTTTTAATACTACTCTACTTAAACATGGTTGTTTTTAACCAATTTAAGAGAGACAGAGACACAGAGAGAGAGAGGGAGAGAGGGAGAGGGAGAGAGAGAGAGAGAGAGAGACAACAGAGACCCAAGCTTCAGGGAGAAAGCCTCATCTCCTAAAGGTAGCAGAGTTGAACAGTGACTGGTCTCTGAACCAGGAGTGCACTCTACTTAGTCTAAAGCATTTACTCCAACCTTCAGTGACTCATGAACCAATTTATTCACTCAAAGTTCAGCTTTAAAACTGCATTCTTTAGGAGTGCATTTAAAGTGCTAAGTTACATGGCTTCAGGTTTGGCACCAATTATTTTCAAAAGTTCCCAAGTTTCTATAAATATCCTCTACCAGACTTCTTTTGACTTACATCTCTGTTATCATGTTAAAAGAGAAAAATAACACATAAAAGTCAATGTTCTCATATTATTTTATCATCAGGTAATGGCAATAAGCGAATTAGAGTAATATAACTCCTTATGGCAGCCATCAAAAGCAAGTCAAAAGCAGGCTGTACTTAAATAGTCCATATACACTTCTATATCCTGGGATTATACGCTATATGTCATTTATAGGATTCTCCAGCTTTCATGTACTCAGACTTGTTTTCATTTATTTCATTTTCTTCAATCTACTATCTCACTTTTTTTTCTAAAACCGTTGCTCCCTCTTTTTTTATTAACTTCTCATCCATAAACCAACTCATCTGTCTTTGACTCCTTAATCTGATCTAATTTTCCTAAGAGCTTAGAGAAGAGAATATCCTCTCCCCAGGAACAATGATGTCAACCTTCCCTTATTCCAATCCTCAGTCCTGGTCTCTGTCACTGTCTTCCCATCTTTGCTTGAAGATGGTTACTGATGAGCTACGCATACACAAACATCATCAAAATTGCAGTCCAGACATGGACAGACATTGCTCTAAAGAAGATATACCAATGGCTAACAGACACATGAAAAAATGCCCAACATCACTCATTATCAGGGAAATACAAATCAAAACCACAGTGAAATACCACCTGTCAGATCGCTAAAAATAACAACTCTGGAAACAACAGATGTTGGCAAC